GACCTCCTGAGGTCCCTTCCAACCCTGATATTCTATGATTCTATGAATCTAGAAGTGGAGAACCTAGAAGTTTTTGTCATGGTAGACTATGCTACTTTAGGTAGACTGTTAAACAAGATTGGACAATGAATTCCTGGAAAAGTGCAATATTATAATGTGCTTTTTGAAGCTGGGCATTACTGCAGATAATTCCAGGGAAATATTATGTTTGAGAAGGAAGAAGATCCTTCTTCACAATTCAGAATGTCCAAATGTACAGCTTCTATTAACGCGTCTAAGATTGTGTTCTTTCAGAAAGCGAAATGAAATGAGCCATGTTGCCCTCTTGGCTCCATAAAGACAGGTAATGCCATTTCAGAAATGCCAAAAAAATTAAGTCTTGCTCTATTTCAAACTTTATTTTACTCATCTCCATCTTTAATAGCTGCTGGCCTAGTTCTGTTTCCTGACAAGTCTAGATTTCTTCCTTCCCATCTTTGTCCATCCTCTCCAGCTGCCTCTAGACCTTGGTTGATATGCAGTACTTCCATAGGGCTGCTTGCAGCTGTGCTAGCATGCCACATAATGATCTCATGTATTTGTGGCACTGAAGTCTCAAACATCAATGGTATGATTCTGCCTGTTTTTTGGAATATGCCATTGTTAATGGACCTCAGTTTAAATTAACTTGGAAAATAAAATACCACAGAAGGCATTGGCTCTATTGAATTGGGATATATGATATGAATTGGAAGATGGGTACTGGATTATAGCTGTCTGTAATCCAAACTGCTCTAAATACCAGCAGGTTTCAGGGAAAATGTCTTTGTGGCAGCTTTCCTTTTCACACTTACAGCTGTAATTTGAACTCAGTCCAATGAAGGCTGCAGAATTTTCTGTTTAGTAACTGGAGTTCTTGTGCTGTCCCACTGGGTAGGGTGTATATATTTATTATTTGTATTCCTGTAGCACCTAGGAGCCCAGTCATGGATGAAGAACGTGCTGTACTAGGCACTGTACAAACACAGACTAAAAAGATGGTCCCTGCCTTATTGACCCATGTAACTGAAGACTGTGTAGGTATTAAACTTTAACAACAATTGCAGTGACAGTAGTACAGTTCATAATCTCGCAGGTAAAATCATTGTCATTCTTTCTGAGATAAAACTAGATGGATCGATAGTTTCAACTAGTAACAATCAGATTTACAAACTGTTACTGTAATCGTGTACTCCATATCATGATACTGAAAGCCTAACTGAAATAGTTAACTTGTCTTAAACACATCTCACTGATCTCAAAACTCTCATAATTCAACAGTGGAAATAGTTGAGATCTGTATTCTTGACCTGCTACAAATCTAGCACAAACTGCACTTTACAGAGACTATGAGTGGAATGCATGGTAGGGTACATTACTCTAGTACTTGGACTGGGTTTCCAGAGCTGTGCGCACACTGAGATTGATAACATTTCAATCCCAATGTGAGATTACATTAAAAGCAGCTACTGAACTTGTTCTTACTGCTGTAAAACAAAAAGTGGAAGGGAAGCAAATGAATGAGACAAATAAATACAAGGAAACTCCTCTGGAAACTGTATCATGCTGAGTATGTTCCCTTGTCTGTCTGCAAAGTCTAATTGACAGAAATGCCAGTAATATCCAATAGAATCTTATTTATAAATGGTGGGGAGGCAGGGCCCTGAAGATACTGTAGTTGGAAAGTAACTCTAAATTGTAGTGGAGGTTCTGCCTTGTTTTTCTACTGCCTCATCAGTACTTATTGGGACATTTCTTCAGACTGTTTTTTTGAAGACTTTGATGGGGAAAGGGATGGTCATTAGTGCCAATTTACTTTTGTCGATCCTCAGCCAGTATTTTGTATTAGCATTCAGCTCAAAATGTGAATTTTGGACTGAGTTTTGTGAACCAACATAGCAAATGGGCAGTTTTGTAAGACTCGAGCAGAAGTGGTCTTTCTTTACAGAAGGCTGTAGTTCAAAATGATTTAAAAATCAGTTGCTTTATGTATTTTTGCTCTTTTTTTTTTTTATATATATATATATGCAAGAACTTAATGAATGTAGTGGAAGGGAGGGCTTGCCTTGGAGCAATGCTCTAACTCCTGCTGGTAGAATCATTTAGCTCTGAAGAAAAGTGACCCGTCTCTGCAAGCGGCTTATTGCAAGGTGGGTTTGTGAATGTTGGAGAACTGGAAACGCTCTTGTAGAGGAGAAGTAAATAATATGCCTGGTCATTAGCAAGTAGGAAGAAAATAAAAATAGCACTGAGCATGAATGGTCCAAGCATTTTTTTACTTGGGGGAGGGCTGTTAGGTTTCAAAGAAGTTTCTTTCAGTGGTGGTTGCATTTATATCGATTTATGTGGAGGCTGTGCAAGGGAACTATGATTAGAGTAAAAAAATCAGAGGCTAAAAGTGGAAGGAGAACCAATTTTTTTCACTTTAAAGGCATTTCACTCTTTAAAATAGGATGTAGGTTGTATGGAATTTCAGCTGCTTTTTGGAATTTTCTTTCATTGAAAGTCTTTCTTCCTCTTTAAGACTTGCTCACTTAAGCTCCTGTCCTGCATTGAGCTCCAAACTAGTGGACTTCTTTAATTTCTGGGGCTCTGCGTGGGCTTAGTTATCTACACACTTTATTAAACTTATAAGATCAGGGCCCATATTTTATCTTAAACTTGATTTTTTTTTCTTCCCTTTCCCTCTGGTTAACTTTTTAAAACAAGGGAATTCAATTTTCAACTTCTAGTCACATTGACTTGACTAGTCTAATTTTTTCCTCACTTTGTTTACTTATTTATCTTTAGCTGCTGTCTAATGCTATAAGGATCACAGGGGAGAAACTTTTTATTTAGGTATTAGGAGCTTTACATATTTGTTTGGATAAGCATTCAGCAGCTGTGAAGCCTGGCAATTTATGGAACACAGTTACTGCTGCAAAGCTGGCTATTTTTGAGAAAGGAGAATTCACTTTTGGGGCATGGTACTCATTACACAATTATGAGTAACATTCCATGAATGACCAAGCAGACAAAAGGATTGTAGAAGAGCTGTTTTAAGATTCTGACTCTACCAGTGAAATAAAAGAAACTCAATTACTGGGTTTGGTATTGGAGCACATATGGCATGTAAGCTTCACCTACTGTTCCTCAAACTGTCATCCTTTGGTGCTGCGGGAATCTTCTTACAATAAAACATTTAGTTGAGACTTCCAGGATTTTATTCGCTTTAGTTAATTACTTTTGGTACAGTTTTCAAAAGTGCATAAGTTCTATTTGACACAGGCACTTAGGAGCCGAAATCACTTTTGAAAATGGGACGTAGGTGCATTTTGAAATTTTTACCCTTTATCACTATGTTGTGGTAAAGCCAGGAGGCTACATTTTAGTTTGCTATCTTTTATAATAAAAATTCAGATGTCTTTCTAATATTTTTTTCATGGGTAAAGTTTCAACTTTAGCATTTCACCTACCTAAGAAGTCAACATTCTTGCTATTCAACTGGCAAAATGTCTAACGTACATTTTGTTAAAATATCCCCAAGTGAAGTGTTGCATTGAATCGTTTTATAAATTGTGGGCACAGATGGCTTTAAACAAACATGCTACCTTGTTTGAGACCCAAAGATTGTAGCACAAAGAAGCTGAAAGTGGACTTGTGTATAAACAAAAGTGAAACTGACCTAATCAACTTTCATTGTTCAAGCGGAGATTGATGCAAAAAGTCTGCAAAAAGCACAGAGGCAAGTAAAATACACGTCTAAAATTATGATTATTTATAATCTTCGGTAACGTTGGTACATAAGCAGTTCTTGCTTACAAAATAAGCTGAAATTGAGTCACTATAACTCTCTAATATTGTTTCAGTTAACTACGTGTGAGAACTGGGAAGTCTGCAAAGGGGGATACAAAGGGTACTCTGAGAAGGAAATGAGGGAAAAGCGGTAGCAGGGGAAGCTGAATGCCTTTACACTGGGTGTCCGGAGGAAAAACGGAGTGTGGGGAGAAAGTCGAAGATTGAAGCAGTCTTTGGATTGGAGGGAAGGCAGCAGGTGGAGGGTTTGTGGGGGAGGCTCTCTGGGAGAGGTCCAAGTGTAAATCTTCCCCTAAAAGGAAAGAAAAGGAGGGAGTAGCACAAGGAAGAGGAGGAGGGTTAGTAGGGATATGTTACTGCTTTCATGTTAGTAGTTCTTGGAGTTCAGAAGAGATTGACACTTGTAGCACCACAGGAAAATAACAAAGGTTTAATATGTGTGGGAGGTTTTTAAATACAAAACCCATCTGCTCACCAGTCTCCTTTTGTCCTCTTCCCTCCCCCAGCCTGCCTTCTCATGTCAGTTTGTGGCTGTTCTATGAACAGTTTACAATAGGGTGATAGGAGCATTACATCAGAGACAAATCAGCCAGTCAGACTTTCCCCTCCTTTCTTCTCACCTCTTTCACTTCCTTAACTTACGTGCAAACAGTAATCTTAGGGGTTAACATGCTCCAATTTTTAAAATGTTCATTTAAATATTAGCACCTATGTAACTCTCACCTGCTGAGAAATGCAATTCAAATTATACTAGTTGGCCCAAATTAGAGTAGAACAGTAGAAGTGGCTTGCTGCATGTGGATCCAGGTTAAACACTAGAACAGGCTTTTTTATTCTGACTACCAACAAATCAGGAAACATTGTTTAAAACGTAGTAATTGTTTGGAATGTTAGCCAATCAGAAGCTGTGTGTTGAATTCAGTTGCAGAATTCCAATATATAAAACTTTAATCTTTTTTTCGAGAGACTTTTCAATAGTTTAAAAAAACGTTGAGACAAAAACTCATGTGATGGGAACAGAATTATCCTGTAATATCGCTCATATAATACACAAATAACTCAGCTACTTCAGTTTCTGTTGTAAATAACTGGTTCAAAGACCAACTAAAAATCTCATCTCTCCCAAGAATGTGTGGCTCAAAGCTATTTAGAGGATAGATTCTATTCATACATGTGTCTACTTATAGGTGAGGAATTTGAAACTGGAGCATGAGCAGGAGAAAAACAAGATCTTGTCAGAAGCACTAGAGACACTAGCCACCGAACACCATGAATTAGAGCAGTCTCTAGTTAAAGGATCACCACCTCTAAGCATCCTTAGTGAGGAACAGTTCTATGATGCTGTTTCAGGTAAGTAAATAACATCCAGAACTTGAACATGTGGCAAATGTCTATATATTTTGTTTGTTTAAAAATGGGAGGGACCCAAATCTAGTTGTACCATCTAGGGCACCTGTCTGGAAAGGTACTTCAACATTTGCTTTACTGCAGCATGACTTCTCATGTACTTAGTTAAACAAGTGCTTAAGTACCTCCTGAATCTGGGCATAGAACTGTGGCATGTTCCCGTCTACCAGGAGCAGAGTTTGCAAAACTTGGATCGTGGCAGGGCTGATCACCAGAATAGCTACTTTCCTCAACTTTTTTCTATCAAAGATATTCTGTAAAGACACAAGCCAAGAAACTTTCAATTACAGCTGACGTTATGACTCTCAGAAACAGTTTGCTTTCTTTACGTTTCATTATGGATTGAGCTAAGGATTGTCCCCAGTCACAGGCTGGGGGATGGATGAGTGTTTGTGAGGTGCCAATTCCCCCTCCCCTTTCCATAACTTAAATGTCAATATTGCAGCTGAAATTTTAATGCAATTTTTTAATTAAAAGCACCTGAGCACCATGGCATCTGTGCCTCCATAGGTCTGTTTCTCTGAAGATTAAAGAATGGTTGTTTTTGGGTCTAGGATGTATTTTTATATATTTTAAGATGTTCTTAGGGAAAGACTTGATCAAAAAGGTGTCTAGATTCTTCTCTGAACATAGTTAGGGTTTGAACTCAGTCTAAGCCCCAGCCCACTTACCCCTGTCCGTGCCTCCCCTCCCCTCAAGGAGCTGCAGCCCCACTCCTGGCTCCGAGGGGGGTGTAAGGTAAAAAGTTTGGGGACCACATGGCTAGAGCCTGAGCTCTGGGACCCTGTGAGAGTAGAGGGTCCCAGAGCTTGGGCTCCAGCCTGAGCCCAAATGTGTCTACACATCAGTTTTTAGCCCCACGGCTTGAGTCAGCTGACCTGGGCCAACCATACTGTGATCTCGTATGCTTGTGTGGACATACCTGTAGTGGTAACTTATAAGCATGCAGGAGTCTGGTTCTGAGTCTAGTGTCATAACATCTTATTCCTTGGCCCTAAAGAACTTCACACTGTCCTGGAAACTGTTCTGTGACACACAAAAGAAATAAAAAGCAGTGGTATTGATATTTCACCAGATCCATATTGGTTAATCAAGGAGTCTCCTAAGTAATGTATATCATAAGCCCCCAACCATCCAGCACCCACACACTAAACCCAACAACCAAAATTAGACCAAACTATTAGTCTTTAGGAGATTAAAACTATATTCCAGAGGCAGAGAATAGGAGGGACCAAAGTGCACCAATGCCTGAGGCCCCTGCAGTGGCAGGGAATTGATCAAGTGAGGTGTTCCCAGATGATCATGGCAAGCAACCTGAATCCCATGCTACAGAGGTAGGTGGAAAACCTCTACGGCCACTGTCAATGTAACCTGGGGGGATCAGTTAGATGCTGAGCTTGTGATCAAGAACTAACCAGCCAAGCACCAGTGAAGGGGATATTGGATGAGGTGGGCCAGTCTCTAGCTGTGGCCATCTCTAATCCTTCAGAGGAAGGAGACCAAAAAACCCCACAACCCAGTAAGTTGTATGTGTGCGCATGCATACCTGAGCATGGGGAAATCCCTTCCTGACCCCTGCAGATTACCGGTTGAAGCATGAGATTTTTAGAAACTCCAAATATGAACCAGAAGATACCCACAAGGCTGCCGAGCCCTGCCCCTCACCATCATAATCAACCCCATCATACAATCCCACTCATAAATTTGTCCAGCTGTCAAAACTGTTTGTCCCCAAAGCACCTATTGGAAGGCTGGTCCAGAACCTCACTCCTCTGATGGATAGAAACCTTCTTCCAGTTTCCAGCGTGGATTTGTTCGTGGTCGGTGTATACCCATTTGTTCTTGTACCGACATTGAAAAGATATTCAGGCTAATGGACAGACTTTCTGGTGTTTATTTCCCTGATGTATTTACAGAACGCAATCCTATCCCCCCTCAACCTGCCTTTTGCTAGGCTGAACAAGTCAGGCTCTTCCATTCTCCTTTAAGATAGGCATTCCATTCCTCTGGTCATCTTTTGAGTTTGTCTCTGTTCCCGATCTATAAAATGCCTTCGTTAATAACTAATATCAGTCAGACAATTATTGGAATTAGGAGGATAGCTGGTCAGGAGTTCATCATTTTTCCAGTTGAAAAATGCCCTTTTCTCAAACAGAACTTTTTAATGGGGAAAAAACTCGCCTTTCCTGAAAATTTTTTCAACTTTTGTCAGGAAAAATGAAATGACATTTCCTAGGCTGCTTGCCTGAAAGCCTTGAGGAAAGGGAAATTGACAAGAGCTTTCCAGATGGGTAGTTGAGAAACTGAGATTCAGTTTTGTTAAGAAACATTTTTTTCCCCCTGTAATCCCCTTAGTAGAAGGGGAGCCCATGTTTTCTGACACTTCAAGACACTTTTTTTCCAAAATGTGGACTTTTCTACAGGAAGGGACTCCAAATTAGAGCTGGCTGGAAAGTTGGAGTGGTAGCCATAGAGCACCACCACTGCTGCTTATGAGGATAAGAGTTCTCTGAATGAACCCAGCTTTCAGCCCTAAAGTAAACCCCATATCTCACTACTGCTCCTGTCCCAAACTCTTGCCCTGAAAGAAAAAGCAATGGCTTGGAATCCCATGCACAATAAAATTATATATAGCCAAAAAATAAACATTCAGGAATTGGAGGAGGAGGTTTGACACACACTTCTTAGGAAGAAATCTGCAAGCTGGCTGCTTGGCCCTCCATGTGTTTCTTCATTTTAAAAAAAAAAAGGCAGCAAAACTGACATGGAGCCGTGGCAGTGGGATATGTGTGGGTGACATGGTGACCTCCAGTTTGAATTTGGAATCCATTGTGTGTTAAGTTCTTGCCTCATTGACCCTGAAGGGACTAAATTAGCAGTCCAGAGTGACCACCCCAGCCTAAGAGTCGGACAGTAAGCAACTAGGGAGGCTCAAGAAGCCTGAGGCCCTGGTTCCAGGGTTTGGGGTGGCAGGATTGCATAGTCCCATGGGCCAGGGAAGGGCTCAGGCTCAGACAAGAGGTGTAAGAGCATGCCTTACAGATCCAGAGCTGGAACCAGTGACTAGTCCCTGTCCAGACCCATTTGGCTTAGAAGTACGTGGGATCCAGCAGTTGGGTGCACTCACAACAGACTGGTGGATTGGGCCAGGCTGTGACACAGGCATCATTAGCGTTCTTTGAGAGGGTGGTGTGGCACACTATAGTGCCTCAATCAGAAAATGGCCGATATGCACGGCTACTTCAGCTGTGACTTGTTTATTAGGCCAAATTCTCTTCCTCTCTGAGCTGCGAACAGCCAATTTAAAATCCTGCTGTAGGAGCTGTTTTTATGCAAGTACTTTTGCCAACAAGTGAGCTAGTAGAAGCTTACACTTCAAGTAATAGAATTCACAGATCTGACTTGCCCTGTGGAAAGGTAAGGGAACAGTATGTGTTTTTAAATTAATAACACAGTTCTCATTCTTCTTCGAGTGCTTGCTCATATCTATTCGAAAGAGGTGGGGGGGGGGTGTGCGCGCGCCGCATGCACAGTTCGCTGGAAGGTATTTCCCCTAGAAGCACCTGGGGTGTCAGCTCTGGAGCCCCCTGGAGTCATGCCTTCATGGTGCCGCATATAGGGCCCTGCAGACTCTCCAGTTTCTTCTTACTGTCCAGTGGTGGTCGTCGGAGCGTTTTGTCTCGTATTCAACAAGCGATCCTCTAGTGTATTTTTTGTAAATAGTTTAAATATAGTTTTAAAAAATTGTTGTAGTTAGACATCTGGACTTGGGGTACTGTGGGGTGTTTCTCTCCCCCACATCCCGGGCCCGGGGCATGCCTCGGACCCAGGGGTTTAAGCCGTGTGGGGTTTGCCAGAAGCCTATGCCCAAGGGCGACCTGCACTTAGCTTATCTTAAGTGCTTGCGGGAGTCCCATCAAGCGGACAGGTGCAAGATCTGTAGGAGCTTTTGCCCCCGCACGAAGGAGAGGGATCACAGACTAAAGTTGCTGCTAATGGAAGTAGCTCTCTGCCCCCAGTCTGAGTCAAGCCCCATGGACGCGGCACTGGGCTCCTCAGCGTAGGTGCGCAGCTTGCCGGCTTTGGTCCAGGAGGTGTTGAGGAGGACCCTCTGCACCAGCATTCCCCTGCGCCAAGCACGGCGCAGGATCAATCTTGGCACTGCTCGGTCTCCTGTCCCAAAGAAGCAGCACAGTAAGACTGATAGAGGGCGCTTCCCTTCCCGCGCATGGGAACGTGAACCCAAGGGAGGGAGACCGGGTGCAAGACCACACCTCCCCTCCAGCTCAACAGCCAGCACCGTCAACTCCAGGCCCACGGGAGGGACCATTGAGTCTGGTGACACCAGAGGTGACCCAGGTGAAGGATTTGGATCTCCCTTCCACATCCGAGACTTATGAGGCGGCGCAGGACCTGATAATATTGACAGGTCCGCACTCCCCCGACCACGGTGTCACAGCACCGGTCTTGAGGCCCCAAACGACTCAGAGGCCACTGGTGAAGTCCAGGGGCAAGCTGGCTATGATGCAGCAACGATCTACATCGGCCCAGCACCGACGGGCACAGCGCCATCATGGTCCCTGCACGCGGACTCATCGCAGTCCGCATCGGACACGGACTCATATGTCCCAGAGAAGCTGACATCGTAGCCGCTGGCACTCCCAGTCAGCGGCAATGACCCAAACTCCCTTTTCCCCCACCTCCCCAGTACAGTGGCCTCCACAATGACAGGTGCCAACTCAATGGCTCTTCTGGACCCTGTGGGCTTATCACCAGTCCCAATGGGTCCACCTCGGTACACTCCTTTTTGGTCATGTCTGAGAGAAGGACTGCATCCAGGGCCAGGGATTTCTCCCAGGCATCAGCCACTGCTACCACCGCTAGTGCCACAATTGGTACCATGCCAGGCACCGACAACAGACCTGGCATTGCAGCTACATTCA